CCCTAAACTTGCCCTAAACCCTGAACCCTGAACCCTAAACCCCAAACCCTGAACCCTGAAAACCCTGAACCCTAAACCCAAACCCTGAACCCACGTCCGAAACCCCGCAACCCCGAGGCCCAAGAAGACCTGCAACTCCAAGTTCTTCACCCCCAAAAGCCGTAAACTCTTCACCCTCGATCCTAAACAGGTCCCTTTTTTTATAAGCCCCTGAGCCCCTTACACCCCAAGTTCGTAAGATGCTCTTTCTACCCCTACGTACGCCTAAACTCGAAGTTCTGAACCCCAAACCCCTCAACCCTAAGTTCTTAGCCCTGAAGCCTCCAGGACCCTCCTTGTACCCTCAAACAGGGGCTATATGGTCCCACAGAATGGGTACTTGGGGTCTATTAGAGGGTTTAGGGTCTAGGGGTACACAATTAGAGGGAGGGTCTAGGCTACGTCTCGAAAAGTTCTACACCCTAAACCCTAAACCATAAGTTCTAAACCCTAAACCCTAAACCCTGAACCCTAAACCCACCGAAGTCTCTAAGTTCTTGACCCAAAAGCCGACACCATCTTCCAGGAGACTCGAGCCTTACCTCCCTGCTTGACGAGGCAAAGACGCAAGGCCCGAGGGTTCTTGCCGTTCTTGCTTTGGGCGTTTAGGGTTTGGGGTTCTTTTGGGTTTAGGGTTCTTTTGGGTTTAGGGTTTAGGGCGTTTAGGGTTTAGGGTTCTTGTTGTGTGGGCGCTTAGGCTGAAGAACCCAGGGTTAAGGGTCTAGGGACTCAGGGTTTAGGGTCTAGGGACTCAGGGTTTCGGGTTTAGGGTGGTTCTGGGTTTGGGGTCGAGGGAATTGAGGGTCGAGTATAGAAGCATCAGGACCCAGGACAAGTGCGTTTACAACGGGTTTCGAGAATTGAGGCTTTTGGGGCTTCGCGTGTTGAGGGCTGCGGTAAGGGCTCAGGGCTGGGGCGGCAGAGCTTAGTTGAAGATCCCGTGTTCAGTAGCCAGTGTCTCACACAGAGTTGTTCAACTAGCTGAGGCTTTTGGTTTTGCCTTGAGCATAGAGTTCAGATATGTTACTTTGCGGCTTAATGGTTGGTGTGGTGAGGGGTCGGAGGCATGCTGCATTTTGCTCCAGTGATGTGCTTTGAACCCGTTGTTGTGAGGCAGTGTCTATGGAACCGTTCAGAGATTTGCATTCGCCATGGTGTTTTATGCCAGTCCGGGAATTTAACATGGCTCCAAAGGTTAGCTGTCTTCAGGCCGGCCAAGACTTTCCAAAGTGTCTTCTTGCAGAAGTTGTCGTGAACATGGCCGCGAGATGTACGCGCGAAGCCGCCCTCAAGAACAACGTCTCCAACTGCCGCTCCGAAAGTACACCCAACAAATCTCAAGCCTGAGGGTTCACCCTCGGCCCAACCTGGAATCCAACGTTTTACACACAGTCTTAAAGGAATCTGAAGACTAAGGGATCGAGGCTGATGTAGAGAGCAGCTAGTGATGAGTAGTGTTCTCCAAATAGTATTACAAACAGCTCTTATAATGCTATAAACAGCTCCTCTCATAAGTAGCTGCTTAGCTATCATGAGACCTATCGAATCTCCCAGAGACTCCAAAACCCCTTAAATTAAGGAATATACCCTAAATCCTATTAGGGTTCCTATTATAATTTAAGGTATATTCCTTGATTAAGGGGTTTTGGAGCCTCTGGGCTCTTGCTTCCGATCTGCAGGATGCGGCACTTGGTCTTCCAGCTGACTCCCGCCAGGTCTCCCTGTAACCGCTGTCCCAGGGCTTCAGTGGCTGCCGAGCATAAGTGTCAAAGGTCTCGGCTTTAGGATCACGGTGAGGGCTTTACGGCTCGGAACGCTCCTCCATCACTTGCCTCACGGTTTCTGCCCTACATGGCCGAAAGTGATGGCTTTTGATTGGGGATGGTAGGCTAAGCTTCTTGAGTCTGGGGAGAAGGTCTTCGAGCTTGTTTTCGGGGGCGGAGACTTCCGTTGTGGCAGATGTCGGTCCGGTTCACGAAGTTTTGATCTTCATGAGGTTGAATATTTTTGGAGAGCTGGGTCAGCCAGCGCTTCAGAGTCTTGAGTGTCGAAGTCTACATTTGGGCTGAGTAAAAGTGTCGCCTTATAGTCCTTAGATGTCGTTATATAATTACGCAAAAAATGGGCCCCTAAACCCGCCTAACCCCTATTCCAACTGCTGTGGCCCCTACATTAGAGTGAGTGGGTGTGGTCTTCCAGACGTTTTCTTGCTTTGGTTGTGAATAGGAGTTTGGGCTGCTGTCTCGGTAAGTGTGGTACCTGGGTGCAGAGCCGCCTTGGATTGGAGGGTTTTCGGCTTGTGCGGATGTCAACCCTCTGCCAAGGTTGCATTTGCCAGGCAGGTGCTACTTGTGTCTGTGGTGAAGGTATCTTTCAGTAGGGGTAGATGATATTTGCATGGGGTCTTTGGTTCTAGTGCTGGCTGTAAGCCAAACTTGGTTTTCCAAGTGTTTTAGCCTCATTTGCCGCAAGTCAGCGGTTTACCTTGCGAGATACTATTATAGAAGCAGGTCCTACAATTCCTGTGCCACAGCCCCGTGCCTAAACCCAATCGCTCCAAACGAATCAGACACCGAGCTTCGGATCACTTAGGGGCTGAGCAGGTAACCTTTAACCTTTTGGGCCTTATCTAGTCCTACTATAACCCTAGGGCTCCAAATAGCCCAAAGTAGGTCCTATTTATAGACTTTAAGCCCCAAAGTAGGTACCATTTGCATACTTGGAGCCCTTGGATAATTCCTGAGATCACCATAACGAAAGGTTTCTATACGCGTCCTGGAGCCCCGGAGGAACCTTTGGAAGATGGACCGGCGGCCAAAGCGATCGAGGCCGATAGGATGAGTAGAGTTTAGGGGTTTAGGGTTTAGGGTTTAGGGGGCTTACGGAGGATCTAAAGATCTAGAGGCCTCGGAAGATTTCTGAGGAGAGGTTTAGCGGGTTTAGGGTTTAGGGTTTAGGGGGTTTAGCGGAACTCATGGGGGATATGAATTCTACGGCGTAGGTGTGGTGCTTGTAAGAGAAGTGACGATTGAGCAACTTAGTGTTCTTCAGAAGGAATTCGTTGGCGGGTTTTTCAGGGATTCAGCGGGAGATTGGAGCGCGGCATGCTTTCAAGATTTGGCGTTAGGTTTGGGGCTTATAGAAGTTGTCAGGGTTTGAAAGCCGGGTTAAAGGTTCGCCAGAGCCTTCACGCAGGGTTGAGTACACTATAGTAGACTCCGGTTTTGAATCTTCAACATGTCGGTTTAGGGCCTATACTTGGAGGCAACTTGCAGGGTCATGGGACTTAGTAGCTGTAAGGTTATAAGTACTAGTACCTTAATTGGAGTTACAGGTAGGTAAGTATGACTGTAGTTACCTTATTTACAACCGTAGTTATTAGTAAGTCCCATGATCCTCCAAGCAGGGTATAGGGTGGAGGGTTTCAGTTCAACCTAGCACTGCTTGTGCCTGCCGAAGGGTCGGCACTAAAGGAATGCTCAGCGACCTGCACTCACTCAAAACCCTTTACCCTAAACCCTAAAATCCTTTACCCTAAACCCTAAACCCTGAAATCCTCTACTCTAAACCCTAAACCCTAAACCCTGAAATCCTCTACCCTAAACCCTAAACCCCACTCAAAAGCCTTTACTTCACGACCTGCGCCAGCACCCAAAGCCTGAAACCCCAAAGCAGAAAGGGAACAAGACTGCCTCAACCTTGAACTGAAGAATCCTAAACTCTAAGCCCCGAACCCCCACGGCAAAAGCCCCAAACCCCGAACCCTAACTCTGAGCCCTAAATGCTGAGTTCGACATGTCCGAATCTGTCAGTCCCTAGGGCTCCAGTTACCTCAATAGTGGGCTACTAACCATATATTCTGTACCCCAGGAACCTACTATTTAGGTAACTGGAGCCCTAGGACTTAACATGGCCGACAATACGTAAACTGAAGAAGCCCGAAACTCCTTGACTCAAACCCTGAATCCTAAACCCTAAACCCCACATCCCTAAACCCTGAAGCCTAAACCCTGAATCCCTAAACTCTAATCCACGACCAGTGGAGTCATCCTCGCCGTTGGAAGGACGCTGCCATGCCGCCTCCCCCGGTTCCCTCCAAGAAGAGGCTGGTGGCCTCGGGGGTCCAAAAAAAGGAGTCGGAATAGTTAAGGTTTAGGGTTAGGGTTTAGGGGTTTATGGTGTATAGGGTTTAGGATTTAAGGCTTGGGTTTTAGGGTTAGTAACGATATTCCCTTACAGTCCCTAATATAAGCATGCTATACAGTAAAGATGCTCCCAAAATCCTTTTCTAGCTATCAAAGAATGCACGTACATCATTGCTGATGCCTTCCTGTAGGGCTGAGAATTGACTCGCACTGAATATTTGGTAGCCCAATGGATTCGTGGTTGAGACCTTTGCGAGCACGGGCTGGGCATTCTGATCGTGCAGACTTTCGTTTGCAGCGACTGCAAACAGATTTCCGACTTGGCTTCTTGGCAGAAAACCATGCTTCAATGACTAGCCAGTTTGGCCCCCCCTGCACTCCCTGAAAACCTCAGTCATCCCTCAACCACATGATGACAACCTTGGCCCAACGCTGAGATAGCGAGCCGGTCGTGACCGAGCCGGAAACGAGACCTACGGTTGATGATATAAACCCTGCATTACCCATAGGAAGGAATATACCATAATTCCCATAGTTTAGGGTCCTTAAGCTCATGCAGGATTGATATCATCAACAGTAGGTCCCCCAGTAGTATCTCCTGACCCTTTCGAATTTGGGGTCTGAGAACCAGGATGCCCACGTAGGAACCCAGAGAACCCAATACCCCTTAATTAAGGAATATGCCTTAAATTTTAGGGGCCTTAATATTATGATTTAAGTTAGATATTCCTTAATTAAGGGGTATTGGGCTCTCTGGGAAACGGATGGATCATCTTACTTCCACGGGTCTGGCCTAAGCCCGGTATAGACTGTTTTCCTGGATTTTGGACTTAGGTTGGATTTAAGTGCTCGGGTATTAAGCCGCGGTGTTACTTGTATCAAAACATTCTCATCTTCAGTCAAGGGGGCTTCCAATTATTTAATCCTGGTTTAAGCTGGCCTGTGGAAGGTCCTTGGAGATGCGATGTCTTATAGCATTGTACAGTGTATTTCTGGTCTACACTGTACTACACATGATCCGTATGTGTGTATACAGGATATAGTATATATGTATACACAGATAGTTAGCTGTATTACATAATGTGTGTGTGTATAATTCTGTACATGCACATGCGTATGCATATATGTGCACACAGAGAGACAGAGAGAGAGAGAGAGAGAGAGAGAGAGAGGAATATCCTCCAGAGCCTGTCTATGTACTCATTCCGGCCCCACGGTAAGCCTTACTAGCCTGCATCCGCCGAAGGAACGCCACTGAGTCTTCACCAGCCGAGGCTCTGGTCGCTGGTCTTGGGTTTAGGGGTTTCGGGCTTGGAGCCCAAGCACAGAGCAACAGCTGCACTTCGGTGGGTTGAGGGGAAGGTAACGTCAACTTGAAGCACGAGGAACCGCAGGCCTTAGACCCAACGAAAGTCAGGCTGCAGAGCCTCAAACGGTTTAGGGTTTAGGGTTATGCTGCACAAGCAACTCTCATCAGGGATTCTAGGGCTTAGGGGGTATATGTATCGGGCTCACGCGTGCAGGGTTTAGGGGTTTTGCCTTGAAAGCTGCTACTAAAGCCGCGTGCTTAGATGCAGAGGCGTCCGCATCCTCTGCTGCATCCGCCGACGGGAAGCATCCGGAAGATCCGCAGAGGGCCAGCAGGCGGAGTCCGGAATTTGAGTTGGGGTGTACAGGGTGTATAGGGCTTGGTTGAGCCCCTTCTCTAGGCCCTCAATCTTGTAGGGCCCAAGAAGGATTTAGGATGGAGGGAGGGTTTTGCAGACATTTGGGGATAGAGGTGCTGTGTTGCTTGACGAAAGCTGGGCATCGCATTCTGCTGCCGCTCAACCAGAAGTCGGATGATGGGATGCCGTGGGAACGGCTAGGTTTCGAAGTCTGTCTCAGTGTTGAGAAAATCTGGCGGCCAAAGGCGTCTAGAGCTTGTAATTACAAGGTGAGGACAACAGAGCAGAGGGTTGAGGGTAGATGAATCGGGGTTCCGGTTGGGTAGTCGACTTTATGTTGAACCGTTGTAGTTGACCCTAGAATCCTGCATATGCCTTTTAGCATGAATTCCGGGGCGTGAAGGAATGGGCTCAGCTCTGAGGTATGCCGAGCAGCTAGGTTGCCTTAGGGTTTGGGGTTGAGGGTTGAGGGTCTCAGCTAGAGACAGCAACTACTTGCCCGTGACCTCTGCACCCTGGCTGCCGGATGTTTCGCAGTCGTCGTCGCTACCCAGAGACTCCAAAACCCTTAAATAAGGAATATACCTTAAATCTTATTAGGGTTCCTACTATATTTTAAGGTATATTCCTTGATTAAGGGGTTTTGGAGTCTCTGGGTCGTCGTCGCTAGGTACACCAAGCGGACGCCTTCCCAAGTCGACGTCGAGGAGATCGCCAAAGAGATTGCGCAGCGGGCTCGGGTAGAGGAGCGACACATATACGTTCAGCATGGCATTAGGGTTTAGGGTTTAGGGTTGCTTAAGTCAAAACCATCACAGACGCGGTAACCTCCATACTGGCTCCATAGCTCCCTAAACCCTAAACCTAAACCCTAAACCATCACAGACCCGGGAACCTCCAAACTGGCTCCATAGGTGTCGGCCCTCCAGGGCCATCCAGGCTAAGGATCTTTCGCCTTGAGGGCTCCTATCACGGATTCCGATGAGGGTTCGCATAATACAGCGGCCTAAACTATTACCGATATATTTTGATTTCGTGTTCTGGGCAGACCCCGGTAACGCCAGCAATCCTATCATGGAACTCGCTACGAAACCCTCAGAACCTTAGCCCCGGAGCCCAACAACGCCAACCAGTCGACATTGAAAAATGACAGCCTAAGGTCGCAACCTGAGTACTTGAACTAGGGGGGCTGGGTCTACGAACACCATGCATGTTGCTTGCAAATGAATGCTACGGTTGATGATGTAAATCCTGCATTACCTTAAGGGCCCTAAACTATGGGAATTATGGTATATTCCTTATTATGGGTAATGCAGGATTTATATCATCAACCGTAGGGCTAGGGTGGTTCTCTGTAGCAGAAGTGCCCGGACTTTAAAGACAGCCCAGACTCGGAAAGATCGAGGCTCCGGCAAACCCTGCTGCTGCTGCTGCTGCTGCTGCTGCTAATGTAGGGGCCTTAATAATTAGAATAGGGTTTCGGGGCCCATATATACTGTAATTAAAACCTTAAAAAAAAGTATTGGTAATTATTGAGGCCCCTACATTGTTTTAATTTTTGAGCCCCGCAGAACTTCCAAGCCTAAGCCCCAAAACCCCCCACACACACACACAAACACAAACAAACAAACAAAACAAAACAAAGCAAAGCAAAGCAAAACAAAACAAGACAAAACAAAACAAGCAAGCAAACAAACAAACAAACACACACACGCACACACAAGACCCGAAAATCCTATATGGAGCCCTTTCGAAGCCAGTTTGGAACTGGAGCCCTTAAAGTGTGCATACCCTAGAAGCCCCTAAGCCCTAAACCTGGTTGGGTACCGTCAAAAGGTCCCCAAATTCAGGTCACACCACGATATCGAGCCTATCCTCGACGGCCGCCGCGATCCCGCAGTGGAGGAAAAGCCGGGGCACTCGGTGATATAGGAGCCTGAGTCAGTAGGTGGGGGTTTGGGTTACATTATAGCATACCTCAGTATAACGAAAAGCCCCCCTTATCAATTGTAACTATCCACTCCCCAGCATTGGCTTGCTGGCTTACAGTTCACACCTTTGCACCCTAGCTTAGGGGATTATGGTGTGACAAAAGGAGGTTCTCAGCATTTGGGTACCTTCTTGGGTGTTTTGAAAGGGGTTTATATTGGAATCCTACATTTCTGAAACTCCTAATGTAAGGGGCTTAATAATTGGAGTTAGGTTCCTTTAGGGTTCCTGATTATAATAAATATAGTATAGTAAGCCCCCAAAAAACTAGTCAACTAGTCCAATTTCAATTATTAAGGACCCTAAAGAATACACGGAGTAGAACAGGGCTGCAGAGTTCACAGAGGCGTGCAAGATGTTGTAAGCGTCGGAGACTTGCTGGGAGAGTAGCTTACAGGCAAACCCTAAACCCTAAACTCGCAGGCACGCTCTGGCCTCGTAACCTGCTAGGGGCTACTAGGGGTAGGGCAGGCGTGTAAGACATGTGGTTTGGGGTTCTGGGTAAAGGGTCTTTTCAAGCTTGAACCATGGGCCTTGTTACAAAGTACAGGGGCGTGAGGACTGAGAAGCAGGGCATTGCGTCAGTGTCGTCATCTTGTCTGCATTGCTCCAAATGTCAGAGTCCGGAACGGCAAGTCCTCACGATTCCTGGTTTGGGGTATATTATACTATAATTATACTAAGGAACCCCCACAACTCTATTCTAATTATTAAGGCCCCTACATTAGGCCCTTGTGTCGACTTCTCTCTTCAGTCTGGCATATCTAAACCCTAAACCCTAAACCCTAAACCCTAAACCTAAACCCTAAACCATTAGTGGGAAATCGGCAAGATGCCAGACCTCAAGTTGGAAACCTACAGGCTCCCAGAGACTCCAAAAACCCCCTAATTAAGGAACGTACCTTAAATCGATAGTAGGAACCCTAATAAGATAAGCATCATTCTGTACGCCAGATGCCCTGAAATCTGCCCCCTGAAAATTTCCAACTTCCGCTGGGAAGAAGCATTGGCCTCCGCCTGCAGGAGGAGGGGGGCATGATTAGGTTGAACCATCGTGCCGACTCGGAGGAGGATTTACGATGTCTTATTAAGGTATAACTACGGCTGATGATCTAAATCGTGCATTACCCCCTGCTAAGGACTGCACCATCATTCCCATAGTTTAGGGTCCTTAGGGTCATGCAGGATTTCTATCATCAACAGTATGTACATGAATTAGTACATTGTCGTACATTTTGGTACATCATCTATACATATATGATATGGTACATTATATGTTATCTATGACAGTATCTGATTCTAACAGGTTATAGTACATGCATTGTAGTCCTTACTGTCGCCATTGCAAGTGCTTTTGGTACCACTGGGTGCTGAGCAGAGAGAAGCCGACCTAAATCGGCTTGGAAATCCTTGCAAGGCTTTCGTGTGAAAAGTCGCTCTGCATGAGCAGCAAAGTATGCCCATGACCCCCTCCACTGCTTGGTACATCCAACCCAACCGCTGCAAAGTCTAAACTTTATTCGACCCTCCGCCCGATTCCCTTCAAACCCAACCCCGCCACTTTGTTGTTCCGAGTAGCTCACGCCGAGGGTTGAGAAGCTTATCGCTGGCCGCCCAAACTTCGCGCCGCCATCGGAAGCAGAGAAGAAGGACCACAGTGACTAGCAACCAGGGTTGATGGTTTGTGGATGTTTCAGGTATATAGGTGGAAGGAGGTAGCAGGATGTAGGGAGCAGGGGATAAGGTAGTTGTTAGCAGCTTTCGGGTTTCAAGCTGGAGGAAGCCGTTTCAAATCCCGGCGCTGCGGGACTCAGGACGGCACGGCTCCGCCTGGCACGTCCTCCGAAGGCAAGGGCTGGGAAAGCTTCGGGCTGGCGCTTTCTGGGATACTGAGTCGATCTAGATAGTTGGAGTCCATGTGCTACCGTAGTCGGGTTTATGATGTGCATTAGAATGAGCCTTGCGAGGATGGATGTCGGATTAGAAATGCTCGTAACAGAGCAGCCTTCCTCCGTCTGTTATGTAGCAAATGCCTGACCCTACGGGTCCTGGTATATAGTGTACACTCTGATCTCAAAGTACCTGAAACAAGGAGCAAGTAAGCTTGGTCTGAGTAGCGTTAGTTCGGAGTGATGAGCTGGAAGGGAGGCATTGACATGAGAAATCGAGAGCGCGAGAGATGCAACATGAAGCAAGCGAGAAGGATGAAGCCATCCAGCACTTGGAGGATCATAAGACGTAGCAAAAAGGGTTCTAGATATGGCAAATATGGTTATAATGACTTGTAACTTCAAGTAAATTCAGGTACTTGCAACTTCCAACCTGATACTTGCTTAAGTCCCATGATCCTCCAAGCAAGGACATGAACAGGGGAGTCATCACACCCAGTAATTCCCGCGACCCCAGTCAGACCCTGCAGAAAGCTGGTTTGTGTATAGCCTGCTCAGGAAGTGGCCTCTGGGAGACGGGCTGTTAAGCGGAGAACCTCGATGATACCAGATTTCTGACCCAAGTCTAAGCCCTAAACCCTAAACCCTAAGATGCCAAACTTATGACCCAAGTCTAAACCCTAAGCCCTAAACCCTAAGATACCAAATTTTTGACCCAAGTCTAAGCCCTAAACCCTAAACCCTAAGATACCAAACTTATGACCGAGTCTAACCGAAAAACGACTTCCTGAGCCTCCTCATCCTTGAGGTGCCGGGCTGACATTGCCAAAAGCAGTAAGCTCAAACCTTCCGAGCCCTACACGCAAGGACCTGAAGCCTCTTCCTCCCTACCCCTGAGCCCTAAAGGCCCTAAACCCGAAGCCCTCAAACTCTGCACCCCAAAGGCCCTAAACCCTGAACCCTAAAAGGCCATAAACCCTAAACCCCTAAAAAGCCCTAAACCTTAAGCCCCAAACCCTGAACCCTTACTAGAAGGCCCCAAACCCTACACCCCAAACCAACGCCCTAACCCGAAACCCCTAAAAGGCCCTGAGTGCCCGAAGCCCCAAATCGCTCCAGCCCTGGTCTCAGACAACGTGGAGTCGCTGAGCGACGTGGACGACGAAGAGCTGGAGTCCTACCTCCTGGATGCCGAGGAGGGTTTAGGGGTTTAGGGGTCTTGGGTTTTAGGTTTAGGGGTTTAGGGGTCTTGGGTTTTGGGTTTGGGGGTTTAGGGGTTTAGTGGTTTAGGGTTTAGGGATTTTGGGTTTGGGGGTTTGGGGGTTAGGGGTTTAGGGGTTTAGGGTTTAGGGAACATTGACAAGGGCTGCAGGGTCTAGGAGTTAGGGTGTAATCCGGGTCTCAGGGTTTAAGAGCCCCGGACAGAGCCGAAAAAGAAACCTTAGGACTTGGCCACCTTTTGTTTGTGGCTTCGGAGTTTGGAGATGGGGTTGCGTTGCTTGGGGTCTCGGCCCTATGCTTGCCGGTTCTAAGGTCTAGTCTAGGGGCCTAAATAATTACCAATCAACTCTATGTTGGCGCTTCCTTATTATAAGTATAGTATAATGGGCCCAAAACCCTATTCTAATTATTAAGGCCCCTATATCAGTCTAGGGCAGGGCCCGAAGATGGGAGATGAATCCTTGCTCTTTGTTGGGAGAGGGAAGCCCCTGATTAGAAGATTCAATCATGAGCGGAATCCTTATTCCGGCCCTGATGATAGAAGTGATTCTTCCCTTCCGCTTCTACAGAGTGGGATACTGAACCCCCTAAACCCTAAACCCCCTTCTAGATCCCGACGGCCCTGCAGGAGAGGCAGCACAAGTCGGATATTTGGCACGAGGTGGGCGATGTTGGGGTAGTCGAGGGTTTAGGTGTAGGCGCCTTGATAATTAGAATAGGGTTTCGGGGGTCCTTACTGTAATTATAGTATATTATGTGGGGGTTGGGGTTGATGTTGGATGTCCGTTTGCCAGATTGGCTGGACGTTGTGGTGGTGGAGACATGGGCAACTAATGCTCGCACTCGCACGAGACGCAAGCAGCCGAATATCGAGCACACAGACACTGCGACAGTCACAGGGACGAGGCTACTCTCTCGGCTTCGGAGGCGGAGAGGCCTGCATCTTCCGTGGGTGAGGGAAGGGAAAATTCTTCGCGACCAAGAGATATCCCATAGTCGTGACAAGTGCTGTACTGTTGTCACCATCTATAACCTTCACATCACAGAAAGATCCGGATAACAATGCAGGGGGCATCCTCTTGGTTTGTCGCCTTTGGTGCAGCAATGGCATTAAGGGTCAAAGAGGTGAGCAGGGGTGGGGGAGGCTTGGAAGGGCTGCTGCTTACCCCTCCCTGCATGGACACTTGCCACTGACAGGTTGGCGATAATGACGAAGCCACAAATAATCCTAAACCTCAATCTCCCCGCCGATCGAAACTGTAAGCCGTGTCAAACTTGAAATCCCGAAACGAAGCAAATCAGCACAGCTACCTCCCCGAGCCCGACAGAGCAAGAACCCTAAACCCTAAACCCCTAAACCCTAAACCCCTAAGCCCCTAAACCCCTAAGCCCCTAAACCCTCAACCCCTAACCCCTAAATCCGAAACTCCCAAACATCGCACCTCCCGCTTTTCAGGTCAACAAAGACTACCTTGAGGCCGCTTCGGCTGCACTCATCCTTCGGCTCCTCTCGTTAGCATGAGACTGTTCCAAATAATGTAGGGGCCTTCATAAGTAGAATAGGGTTTGAGGGTATATTAATACTATAATTATAATAAGAAAACCCCGCCAAATAGTATAGGTAATTCTAAATGTTGCTGAAGCCAAGCCTCCAATCAGTTGGGTTTAGGGGTTTAGGGTTGGGGGCGGCACGAAAACCAAATCCTTGAATCTTTTCGCCCCTTGAGACGTGGGGACATAGATGCACGAGTTTTATCATTTTACACACACTCAGTATATTAATAACACGTGAGTAAACAAACATACAAACAGATGTATATACATATGATATATATATACACATATATATATATATACATATATAGAAACACATACATAGACATAGACATATACATATACATACACATACACATACATATACATATGCACATGCATATGCATATACATATACATATACATTTACATTTACATATGCATATACATCTACATCTACATCTACATCTACATCTACATCTACATATACATATACATATACATATACATATACATATACATACATTCATACCTGATGTACATATATACACATATTTGTGTATATATGTATATTCATGCAGTCTGGCCACCTGAGCCGGGGGAGTTTGAACAATGCACTCCAAGATCGCGGTCGAAGCTCCTGCCCTGCATGCTCAGGAGTGGCATGTCCGCAGCCTGGAGGTGTGGTGAAGGGCTTGGGGCGACTGAACCCTAAACCCTACACCCTCAACCCTAAACCATCAACCATACATTCTAAAGGGGCGACTGAACTTGGCGCTTCTAGGTTCCCGGCCTTTGTGTGGAGGAGATAGTCACATGGCTAGAGCTTCTCCGGGTGCAGGTGCAGAAGGACAAACCCATCGCATCTAAACCTTAAGCCGTATAATTTAGGGTTTAGGGTTTAGGGGTCTAGGGTATAAGCCCTGCGGTCAGAGGATAGCTCTGAATTACGAGGATTTGGGGTCTACAGCGCTGGGCCCTAGACCGCTTGACCCTAAACCGATAAAGCCTAAAACCCACTTTCGCAACCCCTGAGCTCTAAACCCCTGAACCCTGCACTTCTAAACCCTAAACCCTAGTTATGGGCCATACATTGCCTGGGGATTTGGAGATTTCTGAAGTTCATGAGAGACCCTGGCCCACTCTGCGACCACTCCTCAACCTGCTCGGAGTTTGTAGCTCTTCGAAGAACGTGGCCCTTTAAATCTTAAACCCTGAGAGCCCCGGAGCCCAAGAGCCTCGACGGGAAACCTGGCCGACACCATGGCACCGAAAGTCCAGAAGCTAAGCTCGCTCTGCAGATCAAGCGGCGGAAGATGCGCGACCACGCCCGACCCTGCTTGTTTAGTTGTTGCTACGGCTTACTTGCAAGGCCATAAGGGTTTAGAGGATAGTATACGTGTCCACAACCATGCAGCTTTTGCATCATTTGGGAGGGCGTCGGGGTAGATCAGAAGAGGAACACATACAATCGTCGTCTGTCGTGGTGGCAGCAATGGTCAGAAACATTTCGAAGCCCGCTGCCCTAAACCAAGGCATCGCGAAAAAACAAAAGCCTACTGTACGCCTCCCTTCACCGTCTCCCTGACCCCGGAGCACGAAGTCATAAGTTGAACTTAACTAAACCCTATAAACCTTAAGCCGTTTACCGTGAACCACACGCCTTGCAGCGACGAAGATGGCAGGTCAACAACGAAAGAAAGGCCGGAAAGCAGGCCGAGTGGAGACGTCGGCGAAAGACTGAAACAAGGTTTAGGAGTTTATGGCTTTGGGGCTTAACACCAAAGCTCAGGGTCGGTTATAAAAAAGGGTGTTCTGTGGCCGAAGCAGATCCTGTCTAGGGCGATGTAGGTCCTGGGACCCCCGCGGTGACACCTTGGGGCCCGACCCCGAACCCGGGGCAGCGGTGGAATCCGTGGGCCCTTACCCATAGGCCCCTAAGTAGTTCCGGTTTAGGGTCTAGGGTTTAGGGGTTTAGGGTTTAGGGTCATAGGCCCCTAAGTAGTTCGTTTTTGATTTTGTGGGTTTATATTTAGATTCCTATAAGTTAAGGTCATCCCAACAAGGAACTATTTAGGGAAGAAACCCCAACAGCCAGTCCGTATTTTGCCGTGCCGTATTCTTGTAATTTAGCATAGCAGAACCAGATCCCTGCAACTCCTTCCTAAAGCTTTGCAACACTGCTTGTGTTGACCACCAGAAACTCTATAACACCCCAAAAGCCCCTAAACCCCTACAACCCCTAGACCCCTAAAACCCCTAAACCCCAAAAACCCTAAACCCGCCAAACCCCCAAAACCCCTAAACCCCCAAACCCCCAAAAGCCCTAAACCCCCAAAAGCCCTAAAAACCCTAAACTCCAAAAGCCCTGTTTTTCAGGTCCCGGGTTCTTCGGAGCATCTCTTCCGGGAGCTTCCTCTCGGAGCTGGAAGAGCCGGGGACCCCAAACCGGTTTAGGGTTTAGGGTTTAGGGTGGTTCCTTTGTTCGGCGGGCCTCTTTTTAGGGTTCCTTTAAGACAGGGGCTCGTTTTCGGGTGCCTTTAAAAAAGGGTGTTTTTAAAAAGGGGCTTTTTAGGGTTCCTCTAAAAAAGGTTTTTTTAAGGGCTCCTCTAAAAGGGGAGCTCTTTAGGGTTCCTAGCTCTAGAAAACGAGAGTGCTTTTAGGGTTGATAGGATGTTACTTGGACTCTTTTTAAACTCGTTCAAGGCTTCTTCAAGAGTTCCATGAGGGCTCCAGAAGGGTATCAGAACGGTTTCGGGGTTGAGGGGTTTCGGGGTTCAGGGGTTTCGTGGTATCGAGTTTCGGCTTTATGGGATGAATGTTGGGCGCATCCTCTCGGAGTTCAGGGGCTGGTTCTTTCTGAAAGGGGTGGTTTTGGGCGTGAGGCTTCTTGGGTTTATGATTTCTGTTTTTTGTTTGAAGGTGTGGGTGCTTCGGGGCTTGGATTTGGTGGTCAGGATTTTGGGAGTAGGGTGTAAACCCTAAGCCCTTAAAAACGGGGAGCCCACCGTAGAACTATATACTACCCTTAACGGGGGCCCCGTAAATGACCCTTCATACCGGTTTAAGGCGTGGAGTTTTAGGGAGTTCCGGAAAGAGGGGGAGCCTAGTAAGGTTTAGGGTTCAGTTGCGGCTACCCGGATTTTCGTGACAGTTACGCACAGCCTAAACCTTGAGACCCTAAACACTGTTCCTCCCGACACGTTTAGACCAATGGATCGTCGATGTCAAGGTTTTCGCTCCTTATTGCTGCCATTGGCCACGACATCGGCCATCCAGGCGTGAACAACGGCTACTCGGCACAAGCCCTACCTTAAGCCATATACCTTGAAATGCACCATACTCTACCTGGAAATGCTTGTGACCCCCTAGATTAGGGCTGAGGGCTCGGGGATTACATATTTTTAGGCTTCAAGATTTTGGTTTAGTAACATTCGTTTTCAGTACTACGAATATGTGTTGGCATTATTGCTATTGTTGTTTTTGTTTGAATTATTTGTTATCTTTGTTCTTATTATCATCATTCATACGATGATTGTTACTTTCTATTACCAATAGTAACAGTACTATTCTTCTTACTTCTATTTTACTATTACTATCTATAATAACAGTCTTGCAATTCAGGGTTTAGGCTGTCGAGCCTTGGTTCCGAGCTGTGGGTTTGGGGCCCCGTGCAGCAGGACTCAGCAGGACATACTGTTGTAGTCCCAAAACCCTATGAGCCCAAAGCCCCAGAAATCCCGAACCCCAGAAACCCCAAACCATAAATCCCCAGCCCCAAACAGCCAGCATTCCCAAGCCCCACAACTCAAAAATCAACTCCAAAGTAGCCCCTATCCCGAACCCCAGGGGGCCCTAAATCTGAGCCCTGAAAGCTCTGAGCCTGTGCGATTCTCAAATCCATCAGGAATTCCAGCACCCCGAGAAAAGCTTCGGGGGTTTGGGGGGTTTAAGCAGTTTAGGGTTTAGGGGTTGAGGGGTTTAGGGTTTAAGGTGCGGGAAGGGAATCAACAACAAAGGATCTTGCGTTGAGGGCCCTGCACCTTTGTTAACCCTACACACCTATAGTACCCTTATTATAGAACCCTTCAAGAACCCGGAGAGGAACCTTCAAAGTAAGCTTATAGCGAAGATCCAATCAAACCTAAAACCTTTAAGGGATCCCTGAAAAAGACTCCTTACAGAAATCTTATACTAAGCTTAAAGGAACCCCTTAAAGGTAACCCTTAAAGGAACCCCCCTACAGGAACACCCTAAACCCTAAACCCTAAACCCTAAAAGGAACCCCCAAAGGAACCTTTAAAGCAACCTTTCTTGGAAGCCTAAATATCCTAAACCCTAAACCCTTAAGCCCATGAGGCTTTCTCTCAGAAGTCGGCCACGAGCTGGCCATGCAGTACAACGACCGGTCTCCTCTGGAGAACATGCGGGGAGCTTACTTTAAAGTTGTAGTGTTTAGGGTTTAAGGTCTAGGGTTTAGGGTTTAGGTTGTAGGGTTTAGGGTTTAAGGTTTAGGTTGTAGGGTTTAGGTCTAAGCGTCTCCATAGGGAACCCACCTGTTTTAAGGTTTTGGAAGCCCCTGTGCCCCTGGGAAGCTTCGAATCTACTGCAAGTAACAGTGTTTCCTGCTTTCTGCCCATTATCTTA